AGAAAGATCTTTCATCTGCTAATTCACTCCCCAAGTAGCTGCAATGGACAGAGATGAGCTGATTGATCCGAAGCCAGGAGCTTCTTCTGGGTCTCCCACATGGGTGCAGGGGCCCAAGGCTTTGGGGCATCATCTACTGCTTTCTCAGACCACGAGCAGGGTGATGGATGGGAAGTGGAGCATCCAGGATTAGAGCTGGCATCATATGGGATCCCAGTGCATGCAAGCGAGGACTTTAGCCACTATTACCATGCCAGGCTCATTCTTTTTTTTAAATTATTAAGATTTATTTGTTTTTATTGGGAAGGCAGGTTCAAGAGAAGAGAGACAAAGAGAGAAATCTTCCATCTGCTGGTTTATTTTCCAGATGGCCACAACAGCCAGAGCTGTGCTGAGCCAATGTGAAGCCAGGAGCTTCTTCTGGGTGTCCCATATGGGTGCAGGCAGTCCTCCTCTACTTCCCCAGGCCATAAGCAAGGAGCTGGACGGGAAGTGTATCAGCCAGGACTTGAACTGTCTCCCATTGGGATGCTGACGCCAACAGGCAGAGGATTAGCCAGTTGAGGCATCGTGCTGGTCCTAGCACAGCTGTTTCCTGAAACATGGTTCCTGGGATGAGAAAGAACTGCAGACTTGAGTCCATTCATGGCAGAGCTGATGCAGGCTGGTGGGGACCAAGAGTAGCATTGGAGATACTGCCAGTGCTGTGACAGGCATTGCAAAAAGGGGTTGAACCTGGACTGGAAACATTCATCCTTGAATGTCTGTCGTGTTCACTACGCAGGAAGGGTGGCTGGTAATTACAGATCATCTCTCCCTCACTTAAACCAGAGGCTCTAAAACCCCAAATTAACTTAATTTGTTTACAGCAATGCCTTCCAGTAATGAGGTGGCATTTCCATCCCTTTGTGGTAAGAGGGGAATCTTTGTCACGTTTATCTGCACTTGTAGTTTTGCACGATCAGCGTGCGGCGAGGGCCTTGCCGGGTCTCAGCAGAGACATGGGTTGATTTCAACACCAAGCAGCCCACGTGGAGTGGTGATTCTGTTCCGGATCTTGCACATCTGTGGGTTGGGGGCACCCGAGCACCACTCTGGCAGCCGACTCACGGCTCATACATGCTGTACCCAGGCACTCCTTAGGTTCCTTTTGCTAATCAGTGCAGGAGGGTTCGACTCACAAATTCGTGTTTAAAATCATAGCAGCCTTCCTCCGCCTCCTTAGGACACCTCCAGCTTTGGGTCAGAATCAAAGCGTGCCTAAGAGATGGGAGCAGCGCGTTCTTAGCACGGGTTTAGGCAAATGACAGGAAGTAAACCTGTTGCCTTCCTATCCATATCTTGTAATGGAAGCAGAGGCGAGCGATATGGGAACTGCTTGTCTAGTTGGAGGGAAAAGGCCTTAATGTGTGCATACAGCAGAAGCAGCAACACCCTAGTTCCTACTAGAAAAGTAAAAGGAACTTCATCTTTCCCTTTTTTTTCCAAAATTTCAAATTTATTATTTTTTTAAATTGAAACCAGAGAGAGAATATCTTCTATCTGCTGGCTCTGTTCCAATATGCCTACAACAGCCAGTGCTGGGTCAGACTGAAGTCTCCAAGAGCCCAAAAGCTCAGGCAGATCTCTCACATGGGTGGCAGGAACCCAGGTACTCCAGCTACCACCTACTACCTCCCCTGGTGTGCAGCAGCAGGAAGCCGGAATTGGGAGCCGAGAAAGTAGGCTAGTTTTCTCCCAACTGGGATTGTTATGCCACTGTGCCAGCCTCAGCTGCTGTTCTGAGTTAGATCAGTAAAAAGGCACCTTCATACAGCCAATGCCAATGTCCCCCCGAATCACCTGGTGGACTTGTTGAAAAGCAAGTTGCTTGGCCCTATATCCTGGGTTGCTGATGTACTAAAGTTTGGGGTGGGGTCTTAACAGGTGCATTATTTTTTTCCTTTTAAAGACTTGAGGGCCTGGCACAATGGCTCAGAAGTTAAATCCTTGCCTGGCATGTGGCAGGATTCCATATGGGAGCTGCTTTGGGTCCTGGCTGCTCCACTTCCCTTCCAGTCCCCTGCTTATGGCCTGAGAAAACAGTCAAGGATGGCCCAAAGCCTTGGGGCACTGCACCTGCATGGGAGACCCAAAAGCAGCTCCTGGCTCTTGGCTCTTGGATTTGGTTTGACTCAGCTCTGGCAGTTGCAGCCAGTTGAGTGGATCAGAGGTCAGAAGATCTGTCTCTCCTCTCTGTAAATCTGACTTTTCAATTAAAATACATCTTTAAAAAATCTGAAAGAGTGAAAGGGAGAGGAGAGATAGAAAGAATGGTCTTCGATCCACTGGAGCCCCGGGTTGTGTCTTACACAATTTGCTGATTAAGTCCCATGCCCATCCAGTGACTTAAGTAGACAAACTTACTGTCTTCTTTATCAGCCATCAGCAATGCCTCCCCTCAGCTGCTCCTTGGGAACACGGAGCCTTGAGGGCAAGAGCTGCAGAAGCCCCTTCTCCCCGCCTCCATACGCCGCAACAGGTGAACAGAGGGTCAGCAGCCATGTGATTGCACTTACACTGAAACTGCTATGACATGGGTTCATGTCCATGGCTTTGCAGGGTCTGATCGCGCTATCTAGAATGCTTTTCTCCATTTCTTTGCCCACCAAACTTGAACACTGCTTTAGTTAAACCCTATGTTAAAGTCTTTTCCTCAGAGATGTCCCCATGCCTCTCCTTGGAAAAATGGTTTTATTTTTATTTATTTATTTGTAAAGGCAGATTTACAGAGAGAAGGAGAGAAGAAGAGATAGATCTTCCGAACGTTAGTTTACTCCCCAAGTGGCCCCAATGGCTGCAGCTGAGCCAATCTGAAGCCAGGAGTTTCTTCTGATCTCCCATGCGGGTGCAGGGTCCCAAGGCTTTGGGCCGTCCTCAACTGCTTTCCCAGACCACAAGCAGGGAGCTGGATGGGAAGTGGGGCTGCCAGGATTAGAACCAGCGCCCACATGGGATCCTGGCTATGCAAGGCGAGGATTAAACACTGAGCCGGCATGCTGGATCTTTGCAAATAGTTTTGTTATGTGCCCCAGCCCTCTGTACACACCAGTCACAGAATCACCATCAGTTACTAGGTCTGTGTTGCTCAGGTCTAACTGAGCCCCGGAGGCTGAAGCTATGGTGGATTTAATTTGTGTGATGCTTGCTGAATGGATGAAGCATTCCGTTCCACCGAGAAAGCTGTTCCTTGACCTCCTTGACCGTCAGGTGCCTCTAAGCAGTTACATGACAAGAGCAACCACTTGTTCTAAGAATTGGCTCCCAAAGCGGCCAGTGCCGTGTGGCAACTGGCTAATCCTTTGCCTGCAAGTGCCAAATCCTATGTAGGCGTGAGTTCGTATTCCGGCTGCTTCTCTTCCCATCCAGCTCACCGTCTGTTGTCAGAGGCTGACCTAAGTCCTTGGGATCCTGCACCCATGTGGGAGACCTGGGGGAGGCTCCTGGCTTCGGATCAGCTCAGTTTGGGCCACTGAGGCCACCTGGGGAGTTGACCAGCAGATGGAAGATCTTTCTTCCTTGCCTTCTCTGTGTGAAACTTTTTCCAATAAAAAGAAATATCTTTTTTAAGATTTATTTTATTTTTATTGGAAAGGTGGATATACAGAGAGGAGAGACAGAGAGGAAGATCTTCCATCCGATGATTCACTCCCCAAGTGAGCACAACGGTCGATGCTATGCCGATCCGAAGCCAGGAGCCTCTTCCTGGTCTCCCACACCTCCCACACGGGTGCAGGGTCCCAAAAGCTTTGGGGCTGCCGGGATTAGAACCGGCGCCCATATGGGATATGGGATCCCGGGCGTGCAAGGTGAGGACCTTAACCACTGCGCCACTGCGCCGGGCCCAAGAAATAAGTCTTTTAAAAGAAGTGGCTTCCGGAGACTCCAGAAGCCCTCTTCCAAGGTAAGCCTTGGAGGACACAAGCTAAGGACGGCCCAGTCCCCCAGGAACAGCTGGGAGCAGAGTTCTGGTTGAGAGGAGTCTTGAGTGCAGGGCTGAGAAGGAGCGGGGTGGAGACGTCTGGAGACCCCAAGTGGACTTAGACCCGGAACAACTACCCACCAAAGGGAACACGGATGGATTTTGGGGTTCCCACTGGGATTTTCCACCAGCCCCACTGGCATCATTTTGCCATGGGGTAACAGCACACAGGCTGCTCACGCACGCTCTCTCTTTCGGGAAGTTTCTCTCTCGATCTCGCTCTTTCGTCCAAAATGGAGTGGCAAGCCCGCGAGGAAGGCGCTGAGGGGGAGGAAACGCCTCCCCTCAGCCGCTCCAGGGGAACCCCGAGCCTTGAGGGAAGAGACGTGCGGAAGCCGGCCGCTTCTCCCCACCTCCGCACCCCGCAGATCCGTTCTCCCGGAGAACGCGGCTCGGCCCGGCCGCCGTACACCACGCGGAGCGCGGCGTGCGCGGAGGCGGGAAGCCCCCGGCCCGCAGCCTGCAGACCCTCGCGCGCGCCCCGCGAGCCGGCCGCCGGGAGACGCAGCGGCGCGCCCCGCCCCGCCGTCCCCCGTGGGCGCGCACGTCGCCGCGGGCGCGCACGGCGGCGGGCGCGCGCAGGGCGAGGGCCGGCACGGCGGCGGGCGGGCGCGCGCGCGGCTCCGGGAGGCGGCGGCGGAAGCGGCGAGGGCGGCGGGCGTCCGGCGCTGAGGAGGCGGCGGCGGAGCAGGCGGCGGCGGCCGGAGTGGCGGCGGCGGTGGACGAGGCGGCGGCGGCGGCGGCGGCGGCTCGGGACTGGGCTCGGCGGGAGCGGCGAGGGCCCCGGGCGCCCGGGCGAGCCCCGATCCCCCGGCCTGACCAGCCGCCCTGCGCCCGGACGCCGGGGCCGCCGAGTTTGTGTCCCGGCTCGGACCCCGGCGCCCAGCCCGGAGTCGTAACCTTGAGGCGGCGGCGGCGGCGGCGGGGCCGGGCCGGGCCGGGCCGGGGGGCGGCGGCGCTGGATCCGCGGCTGCCCGATCGTTGGCGGGAGATGTCGAACCCTGGGACGCGCAGGAACGGCTCCAGCATCAAGATCCGCCTGACAGGTACGGCCGCCCCGCGCAGCCCCCTCGCTCGCCCCCGGGGACCCCCTCGGGGCGCCCCCGCGCGGGACCCCCGACTCTCCGACCCCGCCCCCCGCGGCCGCCCCCACCTGTGCCCCCGCCGGGGCCGCCTGGCCCGTCCCGCCCCACCTGCCCTCGCGCTGCGCCCTCCCGGCACCGGGTCCTCGCCCCCTCCTCTTCCTCCTTGGGATCGGCGCGGCTCGCCCTACCCGCCCACCCCGCTCGCTGCTCCCGCTGCTGGAGGGGCCCCGGCCCCCGAGCCCCCGGTCCCCAGGCCCCCAATCCTCCAGTCCCCCAGCCCCCCAATCCTCCAGTCCCCCAGCCCCCCAGCCCCCGGACCCCCGCCCCCCAGCCACCAGCCCCCCAGCCCCCCAATCCTCCAGTCCCCCAGCCCCCCAGCCACCCGCCCCCCAGCCACCAGCCCCCCAGCCCCCCAATCCTCCAGTCTCCCAGCCCCCGGTCCCCCGCCCCCCAGCCACCAGTCCCCCAATCCTCCAGTTCCCCGGCCCCCGGCCCCCCAGCCCCTGGTCCCCCGGTCCCCCGCCCCCAGCCCTCCAGCCCCTGGCCCCCAGCCCCCGGTCCCCCAGTCCCCGCCCCCCAGCCTCCAGCTCCCCAGCCCCCCAATCCTGCAGCCCCCCATCCCTCCATCCCCCAGCCCCCCAGCTCCTGGCCTCGACACCCCCGTCCTCACCTTCCCACCCCAGCCCCGCCCCCGCTTATCTCCCGGCCCCGCCCCCTCGCTTGGCTCGGGCGGCCTCCACCCTTTTCTTCCTGATTCAGCCTCGAATTCCTGCACCCGGGTCTTGGGGAGGGCTCCCGGTCTTTGCTCGCTTCCCGCCTGATCCAGGCCTCTCCAGTCTAGGCCACTTCCGTTCTGCACCCCCAAGCCCCGGGCCCGGCCCCCTGTGTGCGCCCGCGTCTGCGCCCAGGGTCCCTTACCCCGTGTGATGGGCACCGCGTGGGCTCCTCAATGAAACGGCCCGGGTGCCACCTTCAAGGCTGAGCGCCGAGCCGGGCATGGGCCTGCGACGCGGGGGCGTGTGTGTGGATGCCAACGCGCGGCTGCGGGCGCCGCAGACCCTGCCCGCTTGAAATCCGTGCCCACGGCTGGGGGTGGCGTTGCAAATCCTGCCCTGTGAGGGACTTTCCGAACTCCAGGATTCCCAGCTCTGGGAAGCAAAGACCACGTTCCGTCTGCTCCTGGTCGGGGATTTTCCCGTGTGTGTGTGTGTGTGTGTGTGTGTGTGTGTGTGTGTGTGTGTGTGTGTTCCTCTAAGGGGCTGAGTGTAGTGAGGACTTGAGAGTCTGGCGTGGACTCGCGGCCGAGAAAGCACAGCCCTAAACTGTACAAAATACAGGAAAAGGACAGTGTTTGCTTTTTGTTTTTCCTGAAAGTGAATTTTACTTTGAAAAGTTCAGAGTTGTGGTCTGATACCATTTTTGTTTTAGAAGGTTTTTTTTTTTTTAATAAAGGTGTAAGGTCAGGGCATGATTTGGACCCAAACAACAGGCTCCCTGGATTTGCAAAGAAACAGGCTAGTCCCCCGCCTTCACCTCTGAGAAACTGCCTGGCGATGGCAGGGAAGATAGGAAACGCTTGTCCGCCGGTGGATACACTGTACACAGCGTTATCTCTCTGGTTACACGAGAAGCCACATTCTTAGACATTGTAGCACTCGCGAAGTGCTAAGAACTGGCAACTTTCATTTGGGGTAGTCTGTACCTGCCTTCAGGCAAGCTTCCATTTCCTTGTTAGCAAGGCAACTGATTTGAGGAATTTGGTGGAAATGGAATCAGTTGTTCTAGAAGCAGTAGGTGTTTGTGTCAGGCATGCATGTGTGCGCGCATGTGCATGTGTGTGCATGTGTGTGAGTGTGTTCACCAAACCTGGCTCGCTGGGCTGGCCCTCTTGGGAAAAGGATACCTTGTCCTCCTCCCAGATGGTTTTGGGGTTCAGGAATGTAGATGTCACCACTGCAGGCGTGCTCCTGTCTGAAGAGCCCTTGGGTGGCGTTGGATGGGGGAGGGTGAGGTGCGTGGGCAGTGCTGTTTCTGAAACACCAACCCGTGTCTGCAGCCGGTGGTCTGGGGGAGCATCCTGCCAACAGGCTCCCTAAGAAGGTGTGCTTGCCTACACTAATGGTTCTGGTTATCTCCTGACCCTTAAAAGGCCTGGAAATGTTCTAGCTAGCTGTTTAGTTGAAGAAGGGATAAGTTTTGGTTTGCTCAGCACAGTGGTCCGAGTAAGTTTGAAATAATTCTGGCATTTTCACAGAGCTTGTTTCCATGTTTGATATTTCAAAAAAAGTGAGTTTTAAATACAAAGGATATTATATCCATTAGATGAATTCCTCACACAGCACAAGTCGTTGGGGAGACAGGAAAGACTTTGGAGTTTGAGGGGAGCACTCAGAATGTCTGGGTGCAGGTGACGCTGCCCTGGTGTGGGGCTAGCAGGTTCTGCTGGGACTGGTGATTAGCTGTGTGACAGCCAGCCTGCTGTTCCTCCTCTCTGTGTCTCCATTCACCCATCTGTCAAATGAGAGTTCAACTCTTGTGCCATTCTTTGAGCCTCTTTTTCACACCTCTACCAACTCTCCTATTTGGAATTGTTTTTGGGTACGTCTTCTTTCTGTCCTCAATCCTGGTATTCAGGAAGTTGTGTTAAAACACAGCATTTGCGTTTGATTTATGCCAAGCGTTAATTTTGTGTATTGTTTGTACTTATGAGCGTTTTGTTTCTGTTGGATCCTTTTTGTTTTTGAAAACGATTGGGTAATACGTTGAACTGCTCTCGGAATCTGTCTTAGACAGTAGAAGAATGTGTGTCTTTTTAAAAAATGGAATTAAAAATGCTCGTTTTCATTTACTCTAAAGGCAGAGGGAGAGATGGGGGGTGGACTTGGTAGGAAGAGAGAAATCTTGGATCTAATGGTTCACCCCCAGCATACCTACAGCAGCTGGGCTGGCCTAGGCTGGAGCCGGAAGTCTGTAACTGTCACCTGGGAGTGGCAGTGGCTCAAGCATGGGACACATTATCTGCTGCCTGGCTGGTTGCATTAGGCAGGAAAATGGATTAGAAATGGAGCAGCCAGGGCCCAGCACAATAGCCTAGTAGCCAATGTCATCACCTTGAATGCACCAGGATCCCATATGGGTGCGCCGGTTTGTGTCTTGGCAGCCCCACTTCCCATCCAGCTCCCTGCTTGTGGCCTGGGAAAGCAGTCAAGGATGGCCCAAAGCCTTAGGACCCTGCACCTACATGGGAGACCTGGAGGAGGCTCCTGACTCCTGGCTTTAGCTGCAGCCATTGTGGCTGCTTGGGGAGTGAATCAGCAGATGGAAGAAGATCTTCCTCTCTGTCTCTCCTCTTCTCTGTATATCTTTCTACTAAAAATAAATCATAAAAAAAGAGAAATGGTGGCACTTTGATGTAGGATGTGGGCACCACAGGTGGGGCTCTGTGCCACCATGCCAACGCCCGTAGCCTTTATATTTAAAATGTTATTTGGGTGGCAGTATGATGCCGTAGTGGGTAAAGCTGCCACCTGCAATACCAGAATGCCATATGGGCCCAGGTTCAAGTTGCTGCTGTTCCGCTTCTGAGGCAGCCTGCTGGTGGCCTGGGAAAGCAGCAGGAGATGGCTGGTGCAAGTGTCTGGACTCCTGCCGCCCACAGGGAGACTCAGCTGAGGCTGCGCGCCTTGGCCCCTACAGCCCCCTGGGGAGTGGACCAGTGGGTGCAAGATTTCTTTCTCCCTGTTGGTTTCTCCTTCTCTGTGACTCTTTCAAAAACAAACCTTTTTTAAAAAATTAAAATGTTATTTTAAATGAATGTCTATAGTATTTTAGTGGAAAACAAGTTTTTAAGTGGTTTGGGTAGGTTTAAGGGCATAATATGTCCAAAATCAAGTGGTTGAGAGCATTATTTTGGAGACATTATAGAGTTTATTGGCAAATAAAAGATTTTGGAAACATTTTGATTTAAAATTCAAACTTTGTTACGTGGCATACAAATGAATCCCAGATACATTGCTCAGTCCACTTCGGGCAAGAGAATGGCATTTTGAGCTCTAAGGGTCCCATAGCGCTCTTCGGGAAAATTAAATCTTATTCTAATGTTAACCAGCTAGTTGAAATACCACATGGTTTTATGCCTTGAAATATTCTCTGTCCTAGTATCTGGTGGAGCGTGACTGTGTATGGCAAAGAGAAGAATTCCAGTTCCAGGGAGAGGGGAAGGAGAGCGTGTGGGCACAGGAGTATGGCATGGAGGTTGCCACACACGTCACGTCACACTGGCTTGTATCCTGGTGCAGCTGCGCAGCCGGGAGAGAAACAGTGTTAGTAATGGCTGTTATTGTTCATTGATCAGTGACCCAACTGATTGCTTCAAAATACTTCATTTTCTCGTAAGGATTAAGGAAATGGTGAGGAGTATTGACTCTGTTCACTTGTAGTAAGTGTGAGTGTAATAAAACTCGCTTGTGTAAGGCAGATAGAGTCTTTGTTTCAACAACTGTGCTGTGGTTGCTGGGGTGAGATGGAGTAGTGGCTAATTAATTAGCTGATAGCCAGGTGTGACAGTTTCCTTAAGACCTGCCGCCAGAGGAGGGAGGGACAGCCTAGGCGCCTCTTTGAGCCAGCTTATCTGAGGGTGGAGGAGGGCTCGGATCCAATGCTGTTATGAATCTGAACTAGCAATTATACTTTCAAAAGACTCTCATTTCTGCCTGGTACCAGTACAGGTCTGGTCCATGATTTTGATCACATTTGTATTGTCCTAAGTGGAAAAAAAAAAAAAAAAACCACCCCCCCTACTGTTTTCTCTTTGTGATCTTGATTCCATTGATTTTACACACAAAATCTTTTCTGTACTTTACCCATCCTATTTTCAAAGTAGTTGTGATTTATCAAGCTAGAATTTTTTACACCAGGAGTTCAAACTTTTTTTTTTTGTAGCCATGAAAGCGGATTCTGTC